TTTTCTGCATCTCATCCATCATTATTTGCAGCGTTTGCACATTCGTCTCGAGCGTGATTATTTTGTTCTCAAGTTTTGACACAGAGCGTTATCGCGCACGTAATTTTTTAGTAATCCATTCCATTGATAGTATGAGTTGTTCGGTGTTCCCAACGATAATCCAAATTTATTAATCGACATTTCGATACAAACAATAATGACAGACTGACTCGTTTCGCCGACGCATAGATTAATTTATAATAAGGCCAGCTCCGCAAAGTTCTTCAATAATTAATAATATTTCATTGTTGTGGGCATTGTTGCCGGCTTGACGCGAAGCTTCCAGCAATCACAAGCGATCTACCAACTCGTTGGAATTATTCCAATGCACGTAATCGATCTTATTATCGTTTAACGCTATAGCGCGCGGTATGTTTATACCTCTTCCAGCTTTTTTTCCAGGCGCTATTATATCTTTATTAGAGATTAATGGCGCTATTATATTTTTATACTTGTATCTCTTGTTACTTAATACTGGATTACACATATCATTGCCACGTCTATGCGCATTTGTCGTCAGTAATATATTTTTGTATTTAATTTTATCATCGTCAGTATATGCGTCACCGTCGGGCGATCTCTTGAAAATCAACTCGTAGAGACCTGGTGTTCCCACATATCTTATTCCATCGATAATTAGAACCGACGTAACAATTTCTTCCACAGATGGGGACGGTCTTTCGTACAATATTTGATTTGATTGTACATCTTTTATTGAAGTAGAAGTAACTACATTCGATAATTGTTTTATTCGTTTATGTTTTGATTGATTTGGAGTAGAAGTTATTAGCGAATCGTTCAATGATATATTTGACCTTGTTTGCTTTGTTCCATACTTTGACTCTTTTTTCAGATGCTTGTCTTCGAGCATACTCGATGGTTCGATTTTCGCTTCATTAGATTCCACATTGATTGTATTTTCGACAAGTTATTTTGGAGGTTCGATAATTGGTTTAAAGTGCCTCTCCAATGCGACGTCTTCCTCCATTTGACCGGTTTTTAAAGAACGATATTTTTTGCGGATCAATTCGCTCGTTTTTACCATTTCTCTCGCAATCTTCTCACGATCGTCACTGTCAATCGTTGTCGTCATGTTGCGCTCGGACTAAAATTTTTAGACGTTGCTCGATCGATGTATCGATAGCGACTAACCACTTTATGGTATTGCAAAATCGTTAAATCCTTTTCGATATTGTCCATTAGTCTGTAAACTGTCTTTATCAATCACTACAAATCCATACTTGTGTTGCCAACATTTCTGACAGAATGCGCGAAAATCGCCGTGAGACATGTCAGTATTTACATGATCGTTGTATACATGTTTCAAGTTTGTACCATTTTGTTTAAATAAAATCAGTAAATTTGCATTGTCCCGTGTAAGATGCTTGGGTATCTT